ATCATTACTCTTAATATAAGTGAATATGTAATATATATGAATATTAGTTATATCATGCCAGCACATCACATCTAATATCTTCACAGCTCATAATGCAATTTTTATTTTATCTTTCAAGTCCCTCATTTCTTAAACATGAGACTTATGAGATGTTGTAGGATTACAAACGGATGAAGGTTACTGGAGAATGGACAATCACGTTAATATAAGTTATAACCGATGATTATGGGTGTCAGCTGTAATGCGCTTAATTTCATTAGAAGCTAAGGAAATCGGCATCGAATCCTGGTTTGATGAGCCGTAAAGGTTTATTAACGAGGGAGGATTATCTTACGCATTAAAACAACATTTATTTTCGAAATAAGTCCGCTCCCAAAGTCAGGTCCATATCCCATTGGCCAACTTAGCTACCATGCAAGTACAATTTCTTTTTTCCATTGACATGATTTTCTCTTTTGTACGATTTTGATTCATTTCATCAAGTATAGATTTTTTTTTTTTTTTTGAAAAAAATGTATTAGCAATGCATTAGAAAACTGCCATACGGCATCTACAACTAGTCCTTATCCAAAAGGATAAGAGTAACAACCAAAGAAGAGAACAAACTGGAGAAGTAAAGCAAAGTAGGCCCGGTGCATGGGAGGAAATGAGGTGAAAAAAATCACTCGAGCAACCTGAGGTCAACCAATCTAGCCATGGGACACCCTTCAAACTACTCCGGAGAGGATGGCGCAAGATCTCCAGGACGTCGGGCAGAAATCCAGTCCGGTAGTGGGCTGAACTGAAGAAACAGCGAGCACCTCCCAAAATCTACATGATAAAGCCGAGGGTCACCAGATCTGAAAAAAGAAACTATACAAGAACATAAAGTAAAACAAACAAACAAGAAAAACAAAAAAACCAAAAGGGGTAATCGGAAAGGGACCCAAAAGCCGACAAACTTGGAAGGGTCATCGGAGGAGGGAGCACAGAACGGCTCCAGCATGCTTGAGTGGCCGGGAAGCCCGATAACTCAAGCATCAAAACCTCGGAAGCTCAAAGGCTTCCGAGCAAAACCACACGCAAATCTGGAGAAGGGGCAGAAGGAGGAGAGAAGGGAGAGAAAAGGGGAAAAGAGAGAGATCTTCATCAAGTATAGATTTATTAGGTATTCTCTCACTTTTTTTATTTTCTTTTGAGAGTGGAGGAATTAGGATTTGAGCATCTCATATTTTTAAAATATATTTGAGTCGATGAAAACGTATGAGATGAGAAAATAAATGAAAAGATGTTATTTAAATAAATTAATTTTTTTTTTTTTAATAATGTTGTCATGGGGTGGGTTGGAACCTACCAAAAAAAATGTGCATTTTAAGGTTACTTAAGGTCACTTGATTTGAAAGGTAGGTGCTATTTAAATAAATAAATTAATTAAAATAAAAAATAAATTAAAAGATTTAATTTTCTTCCCTTTTAAATCATTTTATTAAATTATAAAAAAAAATTTTTTTCTTTTTTTCTTCAAACTAAATATATATTGATTTTTTTATTACTAATCTCTCAATATTCAGTAATTATATTAAGTCTTTATTAATCCAGAATTAAATCGTATCGAATCCCATTAAAAAAAACTATTTAAATACTTATATATTTATTTAAAAGACTCGAATTTAAAATTTTATTTAAGAAAAATTAAATTTCTTTCACTCATATTAAAATTTCGTTTGTGCTAAATATATATTGATAAATCGCTCAAGTGCCACCAATTTGATTATTCAAAGGTATATAATGTACTCATTAATTAAATTACAAGCTAAAACACCAGTAAAAAATAAACCGCACAAGGTGAAACCCAAAAAACAAGGCAAGAAAGCGTAGAGGGCGGGGACAGTCAAAAGGGTCCAAAGGAGGCATGTGCTGGGGACCTGGGTGGGCATGGTCGCATATTAGTATGGTGCAAAAAAGGGCAAAATTTTACAGTAGGAAAACAGTTTTATTTTTGTTTCCTTTTATTATTCTCGCGAATTGAGAATTAGGAGTCACGTTCACGTCTAACGTCTTCGATAGGGTCCGGAGCAGAGACCCGAAAGAGAGCACAATATGTCTTCTTCTTCACAGAAACCGTCTGCAGCTGTTTTTGTAGGAAAATGAAGAGAAGGGCCCCCCCATAAAACCGTGTCTACCTCACTGCATCAATATCACATGACAACGTTTTTAAGACTGTTGTACATTTGTATGTCCATCGGGGGGACCAACCCAGCCCACCGGTCCTCCCTTGCCAGTTAAATGCTTCCTATTTCTTTTACCCTAATTGGTACCATTACCTATTTT